CTTAAACAGCGATCCGTGCACTTGCCATTTGGAATTTCTGTGAATTGTTTTTGCTTTAAACAAAAATAAATTTTAAGACAAACACGAATGTACGAACCTCAAGAGATTGTAATGAGTAATTATTAAGGTCTTTGGGGTTATTAGGCCATAACAATTTTAATTTCATTTTAATGGAATGCGCTTTATAAATTTAATCACTTTGTATAAAACAATATTACTCAATTTTAACGCAAAGATTTAATTCACTTTTTTTTTTTTATTTAAAAATAATAAAATAAATAACTGGAGCGAAAGGTGTTGAAACTAAATTAAAATTCTAACTTTTAAACGATATTTATTTATTATAAATGAGGTTAATGTTCAATTAAACATAAAATAAATAATTATATGAGACTTTTTGATCGTTTAGAAAACAAACTATTAAGGCATTTAACTTTTATTTCGATCGTATTTTTTATATATTCCTATACGTATTTCGACCAATTGGCTTTTGCCTTCATCAGAAGAATTCCTTATATTAAGGCATAGTTTCACTATGTGATTGCCAGTTAAGAAGTAGAACTAAATAATGATAATAACTATATACAGAATATTAACGAACTAAGTAGCATGAGTTCAAAACGTGTATTCTTGGTCGGAAAAATGAAAAGATCTACCAACAACGGTGTTTATCGGTTAATGTTGAAAATGTTCTAAAAATGAAAAATACAAATTTCATAAAAAAAATTTATCCTAATCACTTACACAATCTGAACCTTATTGTATGCAGTATAGGCAGAGAAGTATGTCAAAGAGTGCTAAAGTATCAAAAGAAGAGAAAAGAAACAGAAACATTTTATAAGACCTTTAGATGGAATGCAAACTAAATTCCTATTAGGCAACTACAATAACAAACTATTTAAACTCAGCATTGCCTTAAAGGAGCCCTACATAGGCTCAAAGTGCATCTAAACAGCATTAATATGAAGAAACAGTCTCTAGAGCAAGTACCAAATAAAAATAAAGCACTCATCAACAATAGAAAATATAACTGGGATAATAACCAAACACAGGACAAGAATTGCATTTTGAAGAGCATTAGGACTTGTTTAGAATATATAGAGTTATCCTAAACTAGAACTACTTCAAGAGTGTCAATGAGGCTGTTAATTGGCCAATGTAGACTCAAAGGATGTATGTGTACCATTACTATTGCATTAAATTTCATTTGTGGATTCTGCGATCAAGATACTGGTTCGCCTGAGCATGTACTAGAAAAATGTAGAGTACTAATAAATAATCGAAAAAGTATACCTCGGATCATACCTGACATCTGCGGAGGAATTAGCAACAATCAATAAAGCCAATATTCTCAGATTTTAGTTAGATTTAAAGCAACAAAACTTAATTAGACTTTATAAGGCTACGCTTTAATGGTAGAAGAAATTTCAACCACAGTAATTTTATTAAATATAAATATTTCTGTCATTTTAAAGAAAATGGCCTTTTAAAATTTTGTTAAAATTTTTGGTTTTAAATGAATATTCCATCAACTATGCACCATATATCATTTAATCAACAATTCTTGAGATGTAGACTCTTCTTCGATTGAAAATTTATTTCTAGTAAAATTATTTTATTGTCACTATCTCTGTTAAGCTATTCTTTTTCGTTTCTTAGTTCAACATATCGTCTCCAAAATTTGAAGTACTTTAAAATGAAACACCCTGTATAATTGTTCAATTATGTTTCAAGAACTTAATGATTAACAATTGCATACCAACTAATAATTAATTAATTAAAACGATTTCAATAAAATTATTTAATGCAGGAATGAATCACATTAGGCACTCAAGTATAGTCAACACCAGTCGTCTGAAATAGGTCGTGTAGCATATGTATGTTATCGTGTATCTCAAATGAAGGAGATACTTTGTACATACAGATACTTGTGTCTTATGTATATTTATGTGTGAGTGTGATGGAAGAAAATTCAAGTGTGAAAAGTAAAATTAAAAATCAAAATTGGAACTGTTGGCATCAACAAGCTATAAAAGCAGTTGTAGCCAGCCAATGTGCTCCCATTCAACAGGAAGGAAATAACAATTTGCATACAACCGAAGTGGCTATTGTGAGATTTGAGATTTTCTTGTCTGTTGTACTTGCAAGTCTTAAGTACGCGCAGTAATTTATTGCGTTGGATGGACTATGTTTCGTCTGATTTTCCCCATGTCTATGGCAGCAATGCAGCAAGTCTGTCAGTTTGTCAGTGTCAGTGTCAGGGTAACGGAACAAGCGCGCATGTCAAATTTGAAATTAATTACGAAATTTGTTGTGGCTTAGATTTCTAATGCGAACGGATTTCTTTTCTTTCTTTCTGTTAAATAATCACTGGAAATTACATCACAGCATTGTGAGAACACTTCTTGGGCATTTTGTATATTTTTCTATTTCATTTATTCTATTTATTCAAATTTCTATTTCTTAAAATTTTTTAAAATACTATCCAGAACCAGTAAGAAAACAAAATCTTATTAATTAAAAAATCACCTTCACTTCGTTTGTGATATTAGATTCGATTTAGTTGTTTGAAATAATAAATAAAAAAAATCAAAATTAAGTATCAAAATCGTGACAAATTACAGTCACTCACACATGACGAACTATATACACAAAATAAAGATTAATGTCACCCCAACCCAAAATAAGAAGATAAAATTTCTGGGAAATTTTTGTTAATATTATTTGTAAGAATGATTTATAGATGTTCTTGTAACTTAAATGATGTCTGAGTAACATTTTATATCAAAGAACTATGTAAACATAATAGAATATAACACATTTTTAGAGATGAAATATATTTTTTATATAAAGTAGAATTTCTTCTTCGACATAACATAATATTTAAATAATTATCAAATTACTGAAGTTTTATATAAAACAAAAGAAGTGAAAATAAATAGTAAATAATTAAAACGTTCCCACCGGATACCAAAAATTGAGAAACATTGAAAACTGTTTATCTGCGGTTATAGACTATAGAAACTTTTTCGTCTTTTCTTCCCAGAATTTTTAACATAAATTATTTGCTTGACTTTTTTTTCACTATTTGCTAGTGACAGCTTAAAAGGTGCTATTAGCTGTCATAAGAAAATCTTTAAGCCAATTTACTGGTTTCATAATTTAAAACCATGTGTTTAATAATGGTTTTAATATATTTTTTTATCCGGCTATAGATCACTTTTTGTTAACTAATTCAAAAAGTGATCTATGTTTGTTTAATATTTTTAATTTATTCTATATTTCGACTCTCTTTGAGAGTCAGCATCAGGATCACGATCTAACATAAATTAATATTAATAAAACTATATCTACGTCACCCCCTTTATTCTATATCTATATTGCACTATAAACAATATTATTGCACTACATTGCAATATAGACAATAGAATAAAGAGGACGTAGATATAGTTTTATTAATTATAAATATTTTTTTTATTTAACAAAGGTGCGCTGATTCTGAGCTTCACATTTGGCAGGACCCGAGTTCGATTCCTGGTACTTGCAGTCTCAAAAATAATTATTTACGAATAATTAAATACAAGAATTATTTCCAAGACCACTGATGATGGGTATTTGGCAATACTCGAAACAGCTGTATGGTCAGCCAAAAATTCAATTAATTAAAATAATATGAAAAATAAAATGTTTGTTGTTGTTTTTCACTACTGCTCGAAAAAACCTCTTCACAATGTTTTTATTGAATCCGTTTTATTTAAAGCCTATTAATAAGTTTTGGAATCTTCAAGACTAATAAATAACAATATAAATTATTTTATATATACACACTACAATGAATTAAAAAATTAATTGTAAATTATTTTAAGGGGACTCTGAATAAGTAGTCAGAGTTTATTTACCAGATGTCACGGCACAGAAGTTGAATTAAACAGAATAAAATTTCATAAATGTTTAAATTGTAGTCCCGATATTCGGTAATATCTGTAAAGGAAAGCGTTAGGAAAGTTGGAATCCTCTATAATACTTTCTTTGCAACAGATATTGTACAAAATTGAAGAAAAGTAGCAAAAGCTCTTGTTCGAAAACCGTATCAAATTCCTACTTTTCATTTTGAGGATTCTAACAATATATTGGAAATATGCTTAGACTGATATGAGATTGAAGTATATAAAGTACATGAAAAACCATAAACAGAAGACGAACAAAAATTAAGTGACTGTACTGATTTAGACCTTAAACTTTAGACATCAAAACAGATATGTTTAAACTAAAAATAAGTAGTAAATAAAGCAATTAACTTTAAAGAATAAAGCAAAATTCTACTTATCGTAGTTGCCACACTTATACCAACTAATTTAATACAAACAAATACAATCTAAAGATGAAGACAAACAATCACCAGATGATGTTGTGAGATTCCCATGGTTTTTTAAAGCATATTTATGGAATATCTTCAAATTCAAAATATAATGTAAGATAAAAGCACATTTTTTTACACTCTAACAAGGTTTGTGGATAAGTATCTTTAACATCACGTACCATATAGTATAATGTTTTAATTATATACAACTGTAACGCCTAGGTTTAGTTGCTATGAAAATAATATGCCTAAGCAATATTTTTTTTAATTGTGGATTTCTTTAGATTGTTTACGATACAAATCTTTGCTCACAAACTCTTAATATTTTCATGTTTTATTGAAACATTAAAAAGTGAATGTACACAAGTGTTAATTTCAAATAAAAATAAACATAACAATTAAAAATACTTTCAGTGCTTACTATTTATGTAGCAAGTCTAAAAAAATTCCTTCCATCAACACTGAAAGAGTGCATTCAGCTGCACACAGATAACATGGATTAATAATCCTTTAAATCGTTTCATCATCGACAAACGACCGCCGTAAGCAATATTTTTTCCAATCAAATTTCACTTCGCATTTCGGATTCACAGTTCCAGTTGTGGATTTAAATTGAGATTTATTAAAATGTGCAACTCACCTTGATAGGCACAATCAATTACATCTGTGCCAAGATCATTGTAGACCTGCTCCTGTGTGACAAAATGACTATCGTGTTCATCAAAAGACCAATAGGAATAGTCAAAGGTGAAATCATGATGATTGTCACGACCAACATCTCGAATGCTTTGTAGCCTCGGCTTGAGCAGGCGAGTTTTCTTGCCTTCCATTTCCACAATGAGCTGGGCGTCCATATCGATTTCACTGCAACGAAAAATTAAAAAATAATGTATAAAAAATGAGAAATATGCAAAATGGCATTATTTGCAGAAAATAAAACAATAATAATATAATAAAAATGCAGAAAAATGATAAAAATTATTTAAAGGGCGTTTTAAAGTAGAAATAAATCCATTCATGGGAATAAATATGTCTATGGCGCATAAAAAAGATACACTCTTTTGAGGAAATTTCCATGGATAGCTCTTATAGATACATATGAGTATAACATAATTTTATCTAAACTTCTTTTAAAGATACAATTCATCTTGATTTCTTTTATTATATTTGCACGCAAATAACTGTGGGAATTTTTAAATCTTTTTTTTTGCTAAACTGAATTAGATAAAAAAAAATAAATCAATTAATTTATGGCTTGCGGTTTGTTATTTGGTAAAAATATATAATTCTATTTAACAAAAAAATATATATGTAATAAAAATGAATCTAATCATTTTAAAATAAATTAATATAAAAACCACAATATTTTGAAAGATGAAACATTTTTTTAACCACAACAAAACTAGGCTTAATTGTTTAATTATTGTTTTTTATAATTCAATAATTTAACATTAACCTACACGGTAAAAATAGATTTCTTTGCCGAGTTCAGATCAAAGTGCTATGCCGCCATTGAGTCTATTAATAGTTTATACACATAATTAAATACATAAATAAGTAGATACATAAATAATTAGATACATAATTTAATAGATGCAAAAAAAAATGTTTTTTGTTTTTTCTCCTCTCTCCTCTGATTACTGGAATGAAGTTTTCACAATGCTGTGGAAATCTTCTCCATTTATTCCTAAGAGGTGGTTTAGTGGGTTCAAGTCTCACACATGTTTTTGTATAACACATTACTAAATAAATCTCTGGTCTAACTAAGAAAAGCAAATTTTATTACAGAATTTCAATTTTATTAGTCAACATGCTGTCTTTATAACTTATGCCTTGCAAGGCCCCTTTATCTTTAATCTCATAACAGATCTCACTATCGACAATCACTTACTACCTAGTTTAAAAACAACTTATTCATGCTTAACGTTTGTATGGACACTACCCTCCGATTTATTTAAGATATAAGACATCTCACGAAACTTTATTTAACGGTCTTTGTAACCACTTTCGCGGACTTTTGTTATATCTTCCCGAACAATTACCGATTTTGGCTTATTAGAGGGCAGCATTAACCATCAAAAGTGTTTGTACAAACACATCTAAATTTATCAAACCAATTAATAATAGTTGATTTTCCTGGCGAGAATTCCTATAAGATCAATCAAGAGACTGCTTAGGTTCCACAGCATTTTTCGCTATCAAAAACAAAGTTTAAACTTCAATGAAATTTTTCATTATCCATTATTTCGAAAACTACATTAGAGCGTTCACCAAAACCACAGTAATCCGTAAACTTATTATGAGAATATGATGAAATTTTGACATGTGACTTTACTACTCTTCACAGATCTTATAGGATGATCAACAATACTGCAATATATGTGTCAGATCGAAGACTTAATAAGCGAATTGATATTTATCCAAAATATCCAATTTTAATGATAAGTAAAGTATATTACATTATTAGATGAGCGGAACAAATGATTGGCTATATTTGGAAGTGTAAATTTGTAAAATCAAAAGTAATATTATTTAAAATTTATTTAACACTAAATAATTATTCGCAACATTTTGTTATCTACAAAATAAAACTGCGATAAAAGAAACTCATACTCATCATCAATCTCATCATGAGAGCAACGTAATTAACAATTAGATATTGAAAGAATTCGGTTAAGAACAAAAATTTATTGATAAGATAGCGCTTGATAAATATGTGGAACAATTCCAAGGAAGAGTACGAAAAGAAGATCTAGAAAGAAGCACTTTTTGATGTACTTGGTCGAGTTTATAGAGATTTATAGGTGTCAATTAAAAAAACTAATACTGATTATATGAACGAACAATTGTAGTATATAGTCAAACTATATTCTCTTCTGTACTTTATTAAACGCTGTCGTTGACATCCCACAATATTAACGTCTCTCTGTCAAAGCGACAAACATCATTAACCAACACTAGTTAAAAAAGGCTTTGAAAGCCGTAGTGAAATGTGGAGATCTTTACATATCCCCATCCGCTGGAAAATTAGTCTGTTCAACACCAATGCCAAATGCTCAGCAGTGGTTTTGAAAATATTTGTTATATTTAATTAGTAAATAATTCTTTTGAAACTGCAAGTACCAGGGATTTAACTTGTACCCTGCCAAATTTGAAGCTCAGAGTTAGTGTTCCTTAACCAACTGACCCAATGCCTCTTTATGAAATATACAAGCTTCTATTAAATACAATAGTCACTTCCATTTTTAAAATGACGTTAAATTTAAATTATATTTGAATAAATTTTTTACATATTTTTTTCTATAAATTCAATGGTTATTTATAAAAAATTAGTGAAGGTTATGACTCATATAGCTTTCCAAAATTATGCTCACGAATATAAAACATTAACTCAAAGATCTTATCTAACAAGAAACTAAACAAAAAACTATTGTGTGTTTAATTTTGTAATAAATTATATTTTATTCAAAGGAAAAAACCAGCTGGTCTTTCAACTGAGTAAAGGTTAATCTATAAGCCTTCGAACAGTTGGAACAAAAAGTTTAACATTAACAACGACAAAATTCATTTTCATATTCGAAAAAAAGTTATCAAGAAAAAAAGCTGTTAATGAGTTGTAATAAATCAAAAGTTAAAAATAAAATTTAGTTAATGTATTGACAACAGTATTGGGTCTTGAGACATAAAAAAATTATATTAATATAAATATGTAGTAAAATATTAAAGACATTATTTTCACTTTTACGAAAATGAACACTAAATTGAGCTAAAGTTTATTAAGCATGAATGACAAAAGTTCACAGCCGAAATAAACAATGAACGAAGTAAGTTTTAGTATACTTAACAAAATTTATTTATAAAAATATGAAGGCAGTAAAGTTACACAACTGGAACATGAACACTTAAAGACTTTAAGACTTTAAATGTTCAAAGAGCAGCCTTAACACAACTTCATTTGAATAGAAAGAAAACCTAAAACTTAAAACCTAAAAATCCAGTTTAGTGTTATCGTGTGAAGTGAAAAAAGCAGCACTCATATTACTTCAAGAGGGAAAACGGGAAGACGGGAAGACGACAAAAGGCAATGGACACAAATTACATGTGAAGATTCTAAACTCGATATTAACCGAAACCCACACAACGATCATTTCAAAGAAAATTGTAAACTGAAAAAGTTATTTTTAAATTTTTAATAGATTTAAACTAACATATTGTAGGAGGTGAAAGCGATAGAAGAAAAGTACACCCACATTGGAAGAGAATACATAAATCACTTGAAGACCTCAAATCGTTAAGACCCCACGAAAGCAAAGCTTAACCGACACTCTTGACTGAACTAATTCGACAGTTCTCGGTTTTTATTGTGAAAGAGCTAAATCAGTCCAAAGCATTTTTCTAGTACATCAAATTTACTATGATTGAATAATTAAAATGGTTTAAATAGACAAAGCGTGGGATCAATGAGTGCTTTTTGCTTGTGGGTGTCTAATTTAGTGCAACATAACTCTTCATATTTTTTATTACCTTAAAATAAGAACTAGCCAATTGACATGGATAGTGTCGAAAGGAAATCGAAGCATCTCAGTCTCAAAAGTAAAGGTTCAATTATAATGCAGTTGTAATAAAACTAAGATAGAAGACAGATTTATTCTTTTATTTATAAATAATATCCGAAATAGATAGAACTGAATGATTTATACGGTACGTAAACCTGAAACCGATATTGCCAGAAAAGCTATCGGCTGGAATCCGCTTAGGCAGAGTGTTAGAAATAGAAAGAAACTAAATAGAAATAGAAACATAAATAGAAATAGAGGGGAAAAAATAGAAATAGAAACAAGAAATCAAATAGAAATAGAAAGTTTAGATATGTCACGGCATGAAATTAAAAATATGATGTAGATAAAATAAGTTTCAAAATTTCTGTTATAACGCTAAGTTTCTACTAAGATGTAAAGTAAATTAAATATATAAATTTTTTTACACTTGTATGTGATAAAATTCGGAAGTCTCGTATGAGTTATTCAGTGTAAAAATATTTTTAATAAAGTAGTGTAACTATTTACAACAGACGTGATGAATTTATATATAAAAATAACCTATAATTTTTAATTTAAATTAACTAAATTTAATTGTTAATTTTAATTGTTGTAAAATTGTTTAAAAGTAAAAACTTTACAGTATTACTGTAATATCCACATTCTTACGTCTTGATATCGTACTTGATTTCAAATTCTCGTGATTCTTAAGTCTGCGGTCTTCTCTTTACCCTGAAAATATATATAGTTTTTTTAGGGTATCCTATTTCGTAATTTTAGTTGTTAGAGATTCTTCAGTTAGCTTCCAGTGATCAAGTCTGTAGATTTTGGTATTGTAAATAATTCTACAGTTGTAATCTTTAAGATTAGCGATCTATGAGAGTTTCAAGCCATCAAGTGATATACCTCGCAGCTTTACGTTAAAAAAAAACCCCAATAACGTTTAAATATATTTTGTATTTAGTGTCTCCTGTTTGAAGCTTACGTATTTTTTTTAATTAACATAAATGTTTTGAATTTAATTTCCTTATTTAAAGATTTCTATCTTCATTTGATAAAAATTTATGTTTTCAAAATTATGTGAAAATGGATAAAATTGTATAAATAATAAGTATATTTTATATTCCACGTTAATGTTAACAGAGAAATACATTAAAGATCATGATATTTTTTTAATAAAATAATCATTTTAGTTGGATATTATATAGAAAATAACATAGGTGACTATATGATGTATCAGTCTTGAAAAGAAAACTGTTTTTGCAACCAAATGAAACAAAAAAAGTAAACTACCTCAATGACTTATCGAAATAATTATATTTAATT